CACTTGTGCTCACGCTCACTGGCTCTCTCTCACACACACACACACACTCACTCACTCACACACACTCACTCACACACACACACGCTGCTGCGTTTAGTCCTTCAGCGTCTGCGCAGGATGAAGCTTAAACTGTATTTGATTAGCATCACACGACGCGACTCACCGGCTTCAGTGTAACGCAGGCCCACCTTCTCCTCTCCGTCCTCTTTAGGTGGAGGCCAGACGGCCTGCAGACGGCCAGGGGTTCGGTCCTCACCGTCGGACGGAGACGTGACCTCAGACTGAGCAGAAACAGAGACAGTGTGCAGAAAAATCACTGCACTGCATGAACACACACACTCTGTTCCATTCAGTACTCGTATTTAATACTTCAGAACTAACCAAAACTAACAGAAAGTCACATTCATTTATAAAGACACACCAAGAGCGCAGATTATCACTTATCAAATTGGCTTTGGTGAGTAAAATAAAACGTAACTTGCCAGCATGGTAACATGATATAAGTCAAGCTGTGAGCGAGAGAACCTCCACCGAAACATCTGATCATCTGTGCTGATTCTCACCAAAATGCAAAATGCAAAAAATAAAATAAATAAATAAATTATGGACAACAGTAAAATACTGTTTAAAAAAATATTTATTAAAATATTTAATAAAATTAAATAATTTCAACAATTAAAAATCAATACTGTTAATAAAATACTGTTACTGGTTGCTCGTGTTATTTCACAGTGCATTAACTAATATTAACAGATAAAACTTTTGATTTACAAATGTACTGATAAATGTTGAAATTAGCATCAATAATAATAATAATAATAATAATAATAATAATAAAATTGATTGTGGTGTAATTAATCATCTGTATGATTACAGTATTGTACTGTATTGTGATACTCTGTGGGACTCTCGATAGAAATAATGAAATGATAAATAATAATAAATAAAAAAATTATATTATTTCTATTTTTATAGGGACAAAAAATAAATAAATGTTCATTGCCTGTAAACAATATTATTAATTAATTAATTTAATTAGTAATTATTAATTTATTAATTAATTTATTTATTTATTGCCAGTAACTTATTTCAGTTAAATTCACTGACGTGTAGCAAAAACGTTCATTTGGACCCTAAAACTTTTGATTTACAAATGTACTGATAAATGTTGAAATTAGCATCAATAATAATAATAATAATAATAATAATAATAATAAAATTGATTGTGGTGTAATTAATCATCTGTATGATTACAGTATTGTACTGTATTGTGATACTCTGTGGGACTCTCGATAGAAATAATGAAATGATAAATAATAATAAATAAAAAAATTATATTATTTCTATTTTTATAGGGACAAAAAATAAATAAATGTTCATTGCCTGTAAACAATATTATTAATTAATTAATTTAATTAGTAATTATTAATTTATTAATTAATTTATTTATTTATTGCCAGTAACTTATTTCAGTTAAATTCACTGACGTGTAGCAAAAACGTTCATTTGGACCCTTAAAATCAGATAAAAACTGATAAATATAATAATAGTAAAAAAAAAATAATAATAATAATATTTTTAGTAAATTTCTATTTTTATTAACATTTGTTTGGACCCTTAAAATAAGATAAAAACAGAAAAATATAATAATAGTAAAAAAAAAATACTAATAATAATAGATTTAGTAAAAATCAAATAAATAGAAAAAAACTTAAAATCAAATAAAACAGAAAAACATAAATAATAATAACAAACAAACAAACAATAAATAAATAGTATTTCTATTTTTACAGGGACAAAATTAACTTTTCTTTGCCTTCCAAAAATATTTATTGCCAGTAAATTTTCTTGAATAAATCCACTGACGTGTGTAGCAGTGGACCCTTAAAATCAGATAAAAACATAAACTACTGTAACTACGATGCTAGAAATGATTCACACTCTGAATGTATTTGATTGAATAAGTACGTTAACAACAGCATGAAGAGGGATTAATTAGAGAAGGATCACGTCGATAAATCATCTGTAACACATACTTTCTCCTCAGCGACCGGAGCTTTGCTCAGCTGTCTTAATAATAATAGATTTAGTAAAAATCAAATAAATAGAAAAAAACTTAAAATCAAATAAAACAGAAAAACATAAATAATAATAACAAACAAACAATAAATAAATAAATAGTATTTCTATTTTTACAGGGACAAAATTAACTTTTCTTTGGCTTCCAAAAATATTTATTGCCAGTAAATTTTCTTGAATAAATCCGCTGACGTGTGTAGCAGTGGACCCTTAAAATCAGATAAAAACATAAACTACTGTAACTACGATGCTAGAAACGATTCACACTCTGAATGTATTTGATTGAATAAGTACGTTAACAACAGCATGAAGAGGGATTAATTAGAGAAGGATCACGTCGATAAATCATCTGTAACACATACTTTCTCCTCAGCGACCGGAGCTTTGCTCAGCTGTCTCTCAAAGATAGCCCTCAGCAGCTCTTTATCGTTCTTCTTCTTCCTCCGAACAGCGTCCAGATCCAGCGCTGCATCCAGCGGATCCTTCTGAGCAGGTTTCGAGCTGAATAATATGGATTTGTCAGCAACAGCATCAGAAGACGAATCCGTCGCCGCGGATTTGTCCTCGTTCGATGCTTTCTGTAGCAACCTGGTGATTTCAGACTGACTTCTGGGTTGGTTTTTCTTTTTAGTTTGTTGTAGTTTGGCTTTGTTGACGTGTTGTTCGAGGCTCAGCAGCGCTCGGTCCGCGTCTCGCTGTTTGATTTCTGCAAGCGTCTCCCTCTCGTCTCCGAGCGCTCCTTTCTTTAACACCCGTATCCCGCTGAACAGAGCCGGCAGCTGGTGTCTGTTGTCCTGTTTGGAGTCGTTTATCGCAGAAGAGAGAGCGATAGACCCGGACCCCGTCTGTGGAAGATCTGAGGAGGGTAAAGCAGAAGCTGCACTCTCAGTCTCTTCTTTTTGGGAATCGGTCGGAGATGTCGGATCTGCTCCGGAATTCCCTTCTTGGTTTGAATCACCTGAAACTAAAGAAGCCTCCTCACCTGCGTTACGAGACTCAGAAGCAGGTTTGAGAGGAGGAACGAAACTTCTGTTCGGTAATTCTGACGCTGAATCTACGCTCCGAGACGGCGCTTCTTTTCTGGAATCGTCTGACGAACGATTGAGTTTTGCGTATGGACCGGTCCGACTCAGAATCGAAGCGTCTTTAAGCGATCGCTCCACGAGACTCTCGGCTTTGACAACGAACGGCTCGAGTCTGTCCGCGGATCCTTCATGTTCCCTGTCAACGACAAGAAGACTTAAAGCGGGGGTTTTACACTCATACTTACCAAAATTAACATGCAAAAAAACGATTTTTGGTTTGTTTTCCAGTACAACTATCTAAACATTCTTAAATCAAGATATATGTGACCCTGCAGCACAAAAGCAGTGTTAAGTCGCTGGGGTATATTTGTAGCAATAGCCAACAATACATTGTATGGGTCAAAATTATAGATTTTTCTTTTATGCCAAAAATCATTAGGATATTAAGTAAAGATCATGTTCCATGAAGATATTTAGTAAATTTCCTACCGTAAATATATCAAAACTTAATTTTTGATTAGTAATATGCATTGCTAAGAACTTAATTTGAACAACTTTAAAGATGATTTTCTCAATATTTAGATTTTTTTGCACCCTCAGATTCCAGATTTTCAAATAGTTGTATCTCAGCCAAATATTGTCCTATCCTAACAAACCATACATCAATGGAAAGATTATCTATTCAGCTTTCAGATGATGTATAAATCTCAATTTTGAAAAATTGACCCTTATGACTGGTTTTGTGCTCCAGGGTCACATATTACAAGATACATGATTTATTTATTTATTTTGAGGGGAAAAAAGCATCAAAATAAAGTGAGTGTTTGCTTAAAACAAGAAAAAATATTGGTCAGAGAGGTATGATAATCCTAAAAAGTCTGCAAATAATAATCTATAAATAATCTCGTTTCCCCTTTGAATTAACCCTAATTATTGTGTGCAATTTTCCTTTTCCTGAAAATGCTAGTTAATGTTAAAGTATTGGACTAAAATGTACTTTTAGGTTATTACAACTTCCCCAAAAATTTGGATTTTTTTTTTGTTTTATTATTATTATTTTATTTTATTTATTTATTTTACACTTGTGGCATTGCTGGTCAAAAATGATCCCAAAAATTGCTTATTATTATTATTATTATTAAATATTATTTTTTGTTTTATGTTTTTTTTTCGTTATGCTATATTATTACTAAATCTCGGATACAATATATTTTCTTTCAATAAGCACAGGTTTGGTATTTCTTCCTGGAACTGATTGATCGTAGGCAGAAACTGAGGTGCATGAGCTCATATCAATGAACCGTACGATCAACCAGATCCAAAAAGAAGCACAAAACCTGTGATAAACGAAAGAAAACAAACTGAATCCAAGATTTGCTGATAATACAGTACAACGAAAGATTTACAAGCAACTTTTAAAAGCCCATTTGAACCAGGAAGACCACATTTTCAGCACAGCACAAGGGTTAAGTTTATGTTTCTTAAGATATTTTTTTTGTTTTTAGCAATTTTGTTTTATTTGTTTTACCAACTTAATTTTGGTAAATTTTTTCAGAAAATAAGAATTAACATCATAACATCACCATTTTCAACAAAAAAACGATGAACTTTTTAAGCGTTTTGGTCATTAAACGCATTTTGGGGGCCTGAAAATGCTAACTTTTGAAAACATGCACATTTTTACCGTTATCTTCTTCATTTAGACTACAAAAAAGCATATTAGTGAAAACGGTGACGTCATGCGTGTGCGTGTTCACGTGTAACATCGCCATCTACTGGCCTGGCATCAGTAATACAGTTTTTAAGTCGTTTTTTCGGATCCATGAGAACGGGGAATGTTTTATTGTCTGTAAGCGAAAAACGCAAAGGAAAAATTTTCTGTTTTTACGACACTTAGTACTACTACTAATGATAATGATAGTAATGATAGTACTACTACTAATAATACAATTATTATTAAAACATTCTTTTTTAAGGAATATTTACCATTAAATTATTTACCAGAAAAATGTAAATACACAACACAATATTTCTGAAAAAAAAAAAAAAATAAATAAAATAATAATAAATTAGTTTTTTAATAAAATCAGTTAATTAGAGATGCTTTTGATTATTAAAATGTAATGAAACCATTCAAATGGAATCCAGAAAATTAATGGAAAACACAGAATTTGGTAATAAATTGCTGTTAAATTGTGTAATATTATTTATTTCAATTTATTAGACATGCTTTTTGATTGATATTTTTAATTTAACCATTAAAACAGAGTCAGAGAAAATTCAAACGGAAAAAACAGAATTTGGAAAAAAAAATAAAAATCGAATTTGGGAAAAAATAAAAATGGAATTTGGGGGGGAAATAAAAATGGAATTTGGGAAAAAATAAAAATGGAATTTGGAAAAAAATAAAAATGGAATGTGGGGGAAAATAAAAATGGAAATGAAATAAAGCTGTCATTTTGCTTCAAGCAAGTGCATCTCGATTTAAGAATCTTGATTTTTTTACTGGAAAACAAGGAAAAAGGTAATTTTTGTTGCAGTGTGGCAGTTCCTCCGAGGCGACCTCGTCACCTGACCTTTCCTGAATGCTTGTGGCGTCTTCCTCATCCTCATCGTCGATGTACGTCTCCACTCTGGTCACCTGCACCAGATACGGATCACCTCCAGATTTCAGGCTCAAAGGATCTGCTACTCTGATATGACCATTAGTATCTTCATCAGGCAATGTTCGGAATGATGTCAACACAGCCGCCGTCTGATCCGACATGAGGAACCTTGAAGAGGTCCAAGTGTGGTCTGGATCCATAATTCCTGTTTGCATTGGATCCTATGAAGTGAAATCCAACAGCTGCATAGTTAGTGTGGTTTTACTCCAACCTGCATGCGCACTAGTTTCACAGACTGGAGAAAACAAAAGGTCTTTGTGCATGAAAATCCCCGGGTTTCTCTCTCTCTTGCTCCAGTTCTAACGAGCTGCGAGCCGCTAAAGCATTTTGGAAGCACTTTTGTTTCATGCAGTTCTAGTGAGTCCAGTGCGATTCTCAAACGAGCGAAAGAAAACGGAGAGTCTGAAGTGTCTCAGTGTCGCACTAGTCCAGCGAAAAGGAAACTTACAGAACTAACGGATACGAGCTCAAGATATTTCCCTGCTCCGGCGGAGTCCGTGAAGGCTTGTTTTTCTCCTGGAGAAAGTTCAGCGCTGTCTTTGGAGAGGAAGGAGTCACGCAGGTCTGAATACTTTTCCCTCTAACCACTCCCTCTCTGTGAACCTGGCAGAAATTCACCTGCGAGTGTCCGGTTACTCGAGCGCAGGAGCTGGAAGTGCAAGGCAGGGATTCAGTCTCTCTCTCTCTGTAATCTCCTGCAGGGTCAGGTGGAGTGGGCGGAGCCACACTATTACAACAGTGGCTATAATCAGCTCTGCTGAGGTCACTGGCCACGCCTCTCTGTTGCTATAGCACTGACCTGCAGTGCTTGAATACAGAATCAAGTGTGCAGCGAGAATCAGTGACCGTCTGCAAACTTCCTGCACAACTTCCAGTGATGAGAGACTGGTCATAGTTAATTAGGGGGAAAAATGCATATGCATAGAATGCATATAGAATACATATGCATAATATAATAAAATATATAAAACATAAAATAAAATATATAAAAATATATTTAAAAAATATAATAAAAATATAAAAATCTATACGTATTTTAAATATTTGCATAATATTTAAAACATTAAATTAATACTTAAAAATAATTAAAAAATGCATAAAATGCAAGAATATGCATAGAATGCATATAGAATACAATAAAAAATTTTAAAAATATATAATAAAAATATAAAAATCTGTACATATTTTAAATATTTGCATAATATTTATGTAACATGAACATAATACTTAAAATAATTTAAAAATGCAAGAATATGCATAGAATGCATATAGAATACAATAAAAATATATAATAAAATATATTTCAAATATATAAAAATATATATAATAAAAATATAAAAACCTATACGTATTTTAAATATTTGCATAATATTTATTTAACATTAACATAATACTTAAAAATAATAAAAATTTAAAATTAACACAAAAATATCATCAGAATATAAGTATACATGTTTATATATTTTTTCTAAAACATTAAAAACTATTATAAAATAACAGTCTTCTTTCTCATAAACGTGTCTTTATCAGGTCTGCTGGTTAGTTGTGTTTCTCTGAGCACATGCCGCTCCAGAAGCCAAGCGCTCCGGTCGTCACGGCGATCTGGCAAAGATCCCGCTCAAGTTCACGGACTGTTTGTTTGTTCCGGGATGAAAGGAAATTCATCCCAAAGAAAAGTGTCTTAATGAAACACCCGCAACATGTGGCAAAGTTCGGTTCAGAGCTGAAACTAGTCCTTCATGTGCAGGGGCCTACATTAGTGCGGCGGGACTGTAACCAGTCCGGGCCTCTTCTGAGCTCTTCTTATGTAAGAGAACCAGCGCTTATGAGCACTGAGAGCGATTACAGCCGCCTGCTTCTTGAGTCATAAGAACAAGAAACACAGTGTAAATGTGTTTGCATTCAGTTTAGGTAGAAAAAGTGTCATTTATTTAAAGTGCATTTTTACCATGGTTTCAGTTTGTGTAAAAGCATATAACACTCCCCATAAAAAAAATAAAATAAATAAAAACATTAAAAGTGTTTAACATTTTCGCTTGACACCAGAGTGTTAATTTGCAAAACATAAAACATAAATATTAAGAAAAGGACATCACAATAAGTAGTCTTTATTTACAGTAAGCAAACTAAATTAGACACTGACAAACAAATGTTTTTTGTTTTATCTTTTATGCATGCTATTTTTATTTCTTATGTCTGTTGTGATAAATATTTTTTACATAAAGCATTTTGAATTGCTTTTGTGTATATTATGTATATCTATATAAATAAACTTACCTTATCTATTATAACCAATTTAGCTTTTTATGGTGAAATAAAGTTGTAAAAAGCCAATAGAATGAATGAATGAATTATTTATTTTTGCTTTGAAGGAATGTTTTTTGTCTTTGGGAAAATCAATATTTTTCATTAATATTAAATCAGAACCAAACCATAAATACTGTATAGTTTGAGAAAAACTAATAAAATTTGGCTAAACAAGAGTATTTTTTAAAGATGGAGCAAAGTATATTTTGTCAGTGCTGTGAATAAGTCTGACTCAAGTCTATAAATAACAGTAACCTGTGAGGGGAAGTTCCTGTCTGTTGTTGATGGTACTGAGAACAACAATGACAAACTAGCACAAAAGCTCCGGAGCTGGAGTAAAAGCAGTTAGTTTAACCTGTAAGACCAGATAACATAAGCGCCCAAACTACACGTCTGCTAATAGTTCTGAGACAAAGGCTTGATCATTAAGTCATTTAATCTGACATCTGCAGCCGACTGTGTTGTGTGTGTGTCACGCCAGTCTAATCTGACATGAGATCAGTGCGGTCAGATTCAGGCGCGTCGTGGGTGTGTCGGTATGCTGGAATTTCACTCACACTTACACACACACACACACACACACACACACTCACTCACTCACACACACACACACTCACACACTCACACTCTCTCTCACACACACACACACACACACACACTCACACACACACACACTCACTCACACACACACACACACTCACTCACTCACTCACACACACACACACTCACACACTCACACTCTCTCTCACACACACACACACACACACACACTCACACACACACACACTCACTCACACACACACACACACTCACTCACTCACTCACACACACACACACTCACACACTCACACTCTCTCTCACACACACACACACACACACACACTCACACACACACACACTCACTCACACACACACACACACTCACTCACTCACTCACACACACACACACTCACACACTCACACTCTCTCTCACACACACACACACACACACACACTCACACACACACACACTCACTCACACACACACACACACTCACTCACTCACTCACACACACACACACTCACACACTCACACTCTCTCTCACACACACACACACACACACACACTCACACACACACACACTCACTCACACACACACACACACTCACTCACTCACTCACACACACACACACTCACACACTCACACTCTCTCTCACACACACACACACACACACACACTCACACACACTCTCACACACACTCACACACACACACTCACACACACGAGAGACAGTGTCTCATATGAACCCAGCTAAAAAGGAATGTTCTCAGAATAGTGTTCATTTTGTTAACGAAAAGAATGACGAAATATATTCGTTGACGAGCTTTTTTCCCATAACTAAGACAAGACAATAAGGACAATAAGGTCAATAAACGATAACTGTAACTATATACTGCAATTTGGAATTACTATCAGGAATTTTACTGTTATAATATTCTTGTTTGTTTTTGCCAGTTTTCATAATGCAGACAGAGAGAGTGCATATCTAAGACTGTGATATTAATTTATATATTAGACAGCCTGTAATAAATCAGTACACTAGATGAGGTCAAATAAAGTCCACATTCTATTGATTTGTGCTTATTGGTGAAAGTGCAATACATGTAAATGTAAAAATAAACTCAAATGACAACAATCTTTTCAATTATAATTGATTAAAAAAATAAAATAAAAATATATATATATTATCAGTTTAACTATTAAACTGTGTGAGTGTGTGAGTTTTAGTCCACAAGTCCAGAGGAACTAAGTGTTCATGAACACTCAAGCAAACTGTTATATCTGTCATTATATATGTCAAGTTATTCAGTATGTGTTTGTGTTTTGTCATCATTTAGGAGATAAAAATTCTGAGAGTGTCTACAGACGAGCAACAGAACCTGACAAAAACTAAAGAACAATAGATGTTCTACAAAAACGATCATTCTTAAAAGGTTCTCAGTTATAAGTCACTTATGGAAGCAGTTTCCGCCACAGGATAAAAAAACAAACAAAAGGTAACAGACATTTCATCTCACAATTCTGACTTTTATTCTTATAATTCTGAGATTCAAAATTATAAACTCACAACAGGATTGTGAGATGCAAAATGTAAACGTTTTTTTATTACGTGGCAGAAACAAAAATAAATAAAATTGTGAGAAGAATAAAAAAGTCTGAACTGCGATATATAAAGCCAGAATTCAGAGAAAAAAAGTCAGAATTGTGAGATATTGTTACGAATTAACAAAAGTAGGCAACAGGCAGCGGGTCCAAATGCAGTTCAAGATCCTTTAATGATAATTCACAGAAATAAGCATCCAAAATACATGGAACCACAAGGAGGTAACACTTAACAACTCACACCGACAATAGCAGACCAGGGCTTAATATACACAAACACAGGACCAAACAGGAAATGGAACACAGCTGAACCAGGTAGACACTAATGAAAACAAAGCATGATGGGAAATGGAGTCCATGACCAGAACAGGCAGGAACACAAAACAGGAACGCCCTCTAAAGCCTCACAGTGGTGCAGGCAACCGGGCGTGACATAGCCCCCCCTCTAAGGGCGGATTCCAGACGCCCTACACTGTCAAAGTCCAGGAGGGTGGTGGTACAGAGGCGGACACAGGGGGAGGGAAGGAGGGCCAGGACCGTGGAGAGGTACGGGAAGCAGAAGGGAAACAGAGGGTGAAGACCACAGATGATTCCACAGAACAGAGGGCAGAGACCAGATTAAAGCCAGAGGTGGAGCCGATTGAACTGAAGGCGGTGGCCACGGTGGAATCAGTGAAACAGAGGGCAGAGACCAGATTAAAGCCAGAGGTGGAACTGATTGAACTGAAGGCGGTGGCCACGGTGGAATCAGTGAAACAGAGGGCAGAGACCAGATTAAAGCCAGAGGTGGAACTGATTGAACTGAAGGCGGTGGCCACAGTGGAGTCAGTGAAACAGAGGGCAGAGACCAGATTGAGGCCAAAAGTAAACCTGATGGAGCTGCTTGACCAGAAGGTGGCGCATATGAGACAGATGGC